GGGGAACCGTTCAAAATTAACGTAATTGACATCAGAGAAAGAGGCTATGGAGAGATCGATAGAGATATACTAGATCAGAAAAACAAGAATATCTAAGAATGTTATTCTAACCATCACGTTTTTTTATATCTTGAGTTTCCTGCTTTTTCTTATGAAAAGAAATACAAGAAAGTTAGAAGATAAATTCTAAGTATTTCTTTACTGGGACGAAGAAGGCAAGAAAAACTATATTGCTAGACAAGAGAGTCAAGACATTCAAACTTGAAATTCTAGAAATTCTTGAGGGTGATTATGCTTTTCAGAAAAAAAAATTCAAGAAAAATGAGAAATATATTCTTTGTGGGAGAATTCACTTGAAGAAAACTTTTCTTATTAATACATATTTATTCTTGAAATTTCTTCGTGTAAGAAAATTTGTCCACAAATTAAGAAAGTAAAATTGCAGTGAGATAGATAGATAGAGAGATAGAACCTCTGCCAAGTGGCAACACCCTCTGAGGTGTACAAAGGTACGTTTGTCAGAGGTTATCTAAGGATAAACAGAAGGTGTTTATCCGTGGAGGCGAAAACACGTCGCCTTGTTAACATTTTACACTCAATTAACATCTCAGACCCAGTGTAGATGCACTTACACAATCGTCCTCCTGTAAAGTTGGTATCTAGCCTGGTGTCCAGTCTGAATGTGGTCGGGGCCGCATGAGCTCTGTCCCGCCCGCCTCACATAGGTTTCCCGGTGTCTATTTCACGAGAGATTGATAATCCCTCTATCGTGTTGGAGGAAACCAAATCCCCAAGCATACTGTCTCTTATTAGTGTAACACTCCTACCGGGATGACCTGTTGCACTGGGCGGGGGAAGCTATTAGAGCCCCCGAAGGCACAACCTGCCTGAACAACAGCCCCAATCACGTAAGACTGGATACCAGGCTAGTAAAGTTCGAAAGCATGGCAGACTAACCGTCGTCCAACTAACCATGCCCTTGTATGACTTTTGAATTTTAAAATGGTACACACTTCTTTCTCTGCTTAGCACTCAGCACATATGAGAAAGAGTGTGGGAAGGTCAAACACACAACACTACCAGCGGACTAGCCCCCTGCTGTACGTAGTGCCTTGCACAACAGTGTGTCGGCCAAGGGCTACGAAAATGGAGATGGGCACCACCCTACGCCCGGCATAAGAGAACAGGAGACCTTTTTCTTCAGTCTTCTTGTACGACTTTTTAGGGGTTTGTAGCCACCTCCACAAAAATAAACGTTTCTGACACATGCGGAATGCACTTACAGAAGGGATATTTACACAAAACGGGCGTTGTCGCTTTTTCACGAGACAATAAGGTACTGTTACGATACTCTCCAAGCAGAGGTTAGGGTTTAGTTTTATTTTTGGCTTGCTTTTACTGATAGGCTTTTTTATCGGAGTCTCTTTGTCAGTGCAAAATTCCAGTGCAAAAAAGAAACCCCGATAAAAAAGTCTAAAAGCACACCAAAAAAAAAAACACACACAAAACCCAAACCTCTGCTTGGAGAGAACTGTTACGACCATTTGAGCGACTAAACATTTTTTCCTCTTCAGGGTACACAATCGGCCATTGTTTACCTGCAATTTTCTCACGGTAGCATAGAACGAATAACTGATTGTGATTTTGACAAGATATAAGTTCCAAAAATGTCGCAAAAAGAAAACAAAAGAAGTAACAGGGTGAACAGCACTCATTAGTTTGAACCATTTGTTTGAACCATTTGTTTGAACCATTCTCTATATAAAGCAAACCACATCTCTCTCGACTCGAATTACACTACTACAACTATGACAAGCATTAATAGACATATCACAGTGAATCTTAGGCCATACCGCCTTAATTTTATGGATGACATCCGCACGCGCATTGATTTTTTTTTGTGCCTGTTATAAAAAAGAAAAAAAGATAACGTCCTCGGAGGCTCTGGCCTGGCTCTAGGCCTGGGTAGTCCATGGTAGTTAGCGACAATACGGGGCCGGGCACCCAGGCTACCGCAGCTCCACGACTCAAGAGCTCAGTACATACGACTCATAAATTCCACAAAAGGCCAGCATGTGCCGGCTTGTCGTATACGTCACCATGTACTGCCGAAAATTCACAATACCAACTTTGTATTCCTGTGGTTTAGTAGTTTTTTTTTTTATTTTTGGACGGAATTTTTTTTATTCGCCCGCGCGCACTAGTTTGGGGTTCTTTACAGGATGTAATCCATACAATTAAGTCGGTTTGGCCTTATAAGCAATTCTCAAACTGTACTCAAACCCAAAGCAAGGAACGGTGATAAACACAGGTGGGGCATGTCTCTGCCTTGTCATATTTGCTGACCAAACACCTTCGGCAGGTGGAAACTGGCACTACATGTCTCCAAGGACTATATAGCTATAAACAGTCATGCTTGTATTACATAAGGGCCGGTGAAGGTCGTTGTAAAACAGGACACGTAATAAGAACTTAAGAGTCATTTTTTGTTATTGTTGCAGAAACGATTGCAGAAACACTCCATATGCTTGTCACTGTGTATGCTTGTAGGAAACGGTGCTTCAATCGTCTGGACCAGAAGATTTAACCATTTAACCTCCTTGTCTGGACATATTTCACGGATGTGGGAATTGACACCTGTTTGACAATATACCCCCCTCCCCCCGCCAGTCAACCGAAGTCCTGTGAAGTTTTCAATCCGCCCCCCACCCCATGAAATCGGAATTGTCGTATGTGCGAGAGATTGGTGTAAAAAGTCTTGTTTCGAGGTGTACTCTTTCAGAATTTCGGCCTGTGGTTTTCGTCCCAAAATTGAACGTCATACAAGTGGTTTCCTGTGTTACGTAACCTCTGACTTCATGCATGTTGCACACGACTGTATATGCTTGTAAGAAACGGTGCTTCAATCGTCTGGACCAAGATGGCTTAACCATTTAACCTCCTTGACTGTACATATTTCACGGATGTGGGCATAGCGACACCTGTTTGACAACATACCCTCCCACCCCCACCCTCCACTAGTCAACCGAAGTCCTAGAAATGTGAAGTTTTCAATCCGCCCCCACCCCATGACTTCGCAATTGTCGTATGTGTTACGTAACCTCTGGCATGTTGCACACGACTGCAAGTGAGCCCATCTACAAACGGCCATATACACAATGTACATGTACCCGTGCCAGAAAATTGTTTGCTAACGGCGCGGTCACGTTTTTTGTTCGTCTTGCGATTTTGGTGACGTACCATTTGTGTCACAGAACCAACCGTAAACCGGTATCCAGTCTGATCGTGGTCGGGACCGCAAGAGCTCTGGCCCGCCCGACTCACATAGGTTTCCCGGTGTGTATTTCACGAGAGATTCTGTCTCTTATTAGCGTAACACTCCTACCGGGACGGTCTGTTGCACTGGGCGGGGGAAGCTATTAGAGCCCCCAAAGGCACAACCTGCCCGAACACCCCAATACCCCCAATCACGTAAGACTGGATACCAGGCTAAAACAACCGCCGACAAGGATCTAAGACAGTTTTCTCGTAACAAAATATCTTAACTCAGTTGCACGACAAACCAAGAAATGTCCCCAATCTGCGATAGTACAGTACAACAATCGTACAACGAATGTGACCGGGATCCCCCTTTTTTTATTCCAACATGTAATCACCAGACGTGGTGACTGCACACTCAAGCTTTTTCAACTTACATTAATGCCGCCACCAACACAGGGGACAAATACATGACAGGACAATACTCATTTTCACTTGAGTTAAGTGAGGAAAGTCTTGCAAAGTGCCTTTCCCAAGGGCACAAGATCGGTGGCATGTCAGGACTCGAACCCGGGACCTCTAGGTTCAGAGTCGCGCACTCTGTCGCTACACCACACGACAACACATGTGGTACAACGAATTTGACCGGGATCCAACTTGACAGTTACGTAACGACCAAATTCAAAGCCAACACAACACTTAAGCTTCTAAACACCTTTGCACCAACCACAAATACACTTTCCGAAGAATTCTTACAACTATGTGCTTAATTAAGACCAGCAAACGTAGTCTATTTTGTCTATGTGATCAAAGTAACCGTTTGATGGAATATTAACCTTCGGACGTACAGTTTACTGGCGCTGTAAGTCTGTTGTTGGTACAGCTTTGCAAATTGGTTCATTAACAATGACATGTCCGTCAGTCGACGGTTATACACAGGCGCAAAACCTTAAACCAACAGCATCGCCAACGGCTCATTTCAAAAGTCAAATACGATGTATCAAAAACAGGACGATATAAACGTAGCCGACAATTTCAAACTTTTTAAGCGCTTTTGCCTTAAAGGCATCCAATGCGATTTCAGAGCAGCAAAACTGGAAATATTCTGAATAAGGCAATCTTTATGATAATGACACATACTGCTTCACATTAGCACATCTAAATTAGCATTTCATACTTTAGGGATTTAAAACTGCAGAAACAATCCCCAAGATGAGTCCTTTATTTTATGGGTGGTACCCTAAAAATCAGCCCAGAGCCCTTCCTGTAACCATTTTCTGTCAGAAGTTTGGGTATTTTTGCTCTTTGAGGGTCAATATACATTGGGATAGTGTGGTTTCAACTCAGTATGTAGATAAGTAACAAGAATATTGACTTTTTTGAAATATAAAGATATTGAAAAATCGGGTTTCCAAGCCCTAAAAACTGCATTGGATGTCTTTAAATTTTCTTCTACTAATACTTCTTCTTCTAATGCTGAGTTTGTTTATCGAAGCACACATAGCTAAGATCTTGACGATTTGTATGTATGCCTAATGGCGTCTCGTAGACGGCAACTAAGCTTGGCGGAAAAGTTCTTTCCGTTTTCCTCACATACACAACTTTGCTTTGATGCTTGGGTTCGTTTTAACTTAAAACAGGGGGCTTGTGGCTAAGGGGAGGCTGGGGTATGGCGGGAATATAACCTGTTGTTAAATGTTGCACGCACTACAGAATGGAAGAACTTTCTTTGTCAATCCGCGGATAAATTCTCTCCTTACTGGGTTAAGTTGGATCTTTCAAGTTCAAGACCTGCTTAGGGCACTCCAAACATAGCCCCTCCACCGGCGCCAAACTCGGTGACCCCCTGAGGCACAAAACAGGCAACCTTGAAATCCCACAGTGCGCCACGGGAGGAGCCATCCCCAGTCTTACCTGCTTCTGGCTATTCTCCTGTGTCAGGTCTGTGTTGTAGTTCCACGCCGCCACGACACTGTCGTAGTAAACCCGCTCAGCTTTGGCGTTGTAGTCCCAGATAAAGTCCCAGGCCTGCTGCTCGTCTGTGATGCCCTGAGGAGAGACATTCTGAGCTGACAGCGCCACTAACAGCAGACAGAAAACTCCCGCTCTCCCTGCCATACTGTCTGAATTACCGACTGTTCGTGGGGCGGTGTTCTAGTGGGACGTTTGTTCAGCTAGGCTGGAACATACCATTAAGTTTTACCAGGGGGAGGGGCTGGAATATACTGGTGGAGCAGCAAATAACATGGATTGTTTTTTCCATGATACGCGTTGCATTTTGCCTGTCGATTGGCTTTTGCACAACGAATTGCTGGTCATTGGGGAAATTTGACTTTTGGATTGTTCCTTTCCTTTCTAAAACCATACTACGTTTTTATTAAATGTTAGCATTCCGCTGCGTAACTAAAAAAACAACAATTTAATATAGTTTTAGAAAATTTGAATAAATTTGTATTAGTACAAGAAAAACGATTGGCTCCAATCTTAGAGTGTAGCCTCCGTAGCAGGCTTATAGTACTGTGGGTTTGGTGGTCTTCGGCTGTTTTCTGATTAGCTCAGTTCTAAAAACGGGGGTAATTCAACCAGCCCGGCTATGTTGTCTATATGCAATCAGAAAATAGCACATAAAAGATCCCAAACACCCTGAAGAACCCCCAAACCCCCAGTTTTTGGCATGCTATGGAGGTTACTTAGAGTGGCCGAGTCTGTGTTAGTCTTTGGTACATGTATATCCTGTCAGCCAAGTGTCCCTTTATCAAGGATATAGCTGTTTCCTATCCATGGGAGTAATCCGTTATCACTTAGTGTCTAGGCTGTTTTAAGTATCTCAAGTTACCAAATGCCGCTTTTGTACTGAAGTTAAGGCTTTACTTTGTAGATTTGAGGTTGTGTTCAATTCAATTAATGTGAGGGGGTGTATTCAATTCAATGAAAAATATATAAGGCCACACTGCCTTAATTCTATGGATGACATCCGGGCGCGCATTGATTTTCGCCTGTACTAAAAAAAGATCACGTCCACCTAGGCTCTGGCTCTAGGCCTGGGAAGTCCATGGTAGTTAGCGACAACACGGCACCTGGCACCCAGGCTACCGAAGCTATACGGCTCAAGAACTCAGTACATACGTACAGTGCAGATTCATGAATTTGTACCGGCTTGTCGTATATATATACTGCCGCAATTCACAATTATCATACTAGCTTTGTATTCCTGCGGTTTAATAGCATTTTTATTTGTGGCCGGAATTTTTTTTATTCACCCGCGCGTACTAGTTTGGGGGTCTTCATCAGAGGATGTCATCCATAAAATTAAGATAGTGTGGCCTAAAGGATAAAAAAAAAGTTTAAGCCCCACATTGCAGAAAAGTGTGACAAACCTTGTAAAAGCAGCTGAATGCAGTTCACATGACAGGTTCCCAATCATGAGTTAATCCAATTAAACCCAGCACCCAATCAGCAAGATTACAACTGCCCAACGATCTCGAAAGCTGCATGCTATTGGCTGTTGCTCGGCATTCCTTAGCGATGACTCACTTCAGTATACAGTAACTATACTTCACTATTTGGCTTTGAAAACACTCAAAAGTCCCAAATTATACAATTTTAAAGGAGCGCATGCCAATGATGCTTCATTGCTTGCGGAGAGCCATGTTTTGAGTTTGTGAAAGATTTCAGATGATTTGGTTGTAATACTAAGTCTCAAATGTACAGATTTTGCCTGAAAATGGCCAAAAAAATAATAAAAAATTAAACAATTTTAAAAGCCTGTATCCAAAAAATGACAAAAACGTTCCGGGGTGTTTGCCCACTATACCTTCATGCCAAATTTCATGTTATTTGGCCCAAAAATGGCAGAGTTGAATCCCTTTAAAGAAATGGAAGGAGGAGAAGAAGAAGAAGAAACATGAGGGAAATTCTCGTGTAATGCATATGCCAGTATGTCGTATATGCATCCAAACTAGCGTCTGTAACTCATGATCATCATTCGTAAGGCCACACCAATTTGATTTCTTGGTTAACGGATTTTTCTTGAAAAATAATGGGCAAAAAATAAAAATAAAAACAGGCCTAGGCATCCTATTATGGCCCAAAATGGTATGATAGGAGCCATGAAGTCAACACACCAGGCTGGTTCAAAATTTAAACAATGAATTTTTAACTTTTAATGATACCATTGCATTGAAAGATGGGATAACTAACAACAATTGTTCAGGGCAAAATATGAGCATTTTCCAGTTGATTCTGAATTTTAATTTTTTTTTTTTTGCAAATCAGAAAAAATGAAGCGGGCGAATCCGTTAACCAAGAAATTAAATTGGTGTGGCCTTAAGTTCGTTCTTACATGTAACACACGCACCGCACCTGGCATAGACCTTTCCTTTGTATTGTTGTTTGGTCAGTTTGTTGACTGAGCCCTGAGTCTGTTGTTAGTGTCTGAGGTGTTGTTTGGTCCTGGTTTTTGTACTGGCACTAGCCAACTGCAAACAACATGAGTGAGGTGAACGTAAGGTCATCATCCTTCAATAAAAGTTAAAGGTTTCCCGTGCCCTTATGCAGAGCGTAGGGTGGTGCCCATCTCCATTTCTGCTGCCCTTGGGCGACACACAGTTGTGCAATGCACTACAGCAGGGGGCTGGTCCGTTGGTAGTGCTGTGTGTTTGACCTTCCCACTCTCTTTCTCATATGTGCTGAGTGCTAAGCAGAGAAAGAAGTGTGTACCATTTTTGGTATGACCCGGCCGGGGTTTGAACTCACGACCTCCTGGTTAGAAAGCGAGCACTCTACCAATTGAGCTATTGCACCGGTTTTTCAATAGAGGTGGGGGTGAAAAACATGTCTGTACAGAAATGTTTAAATAAGGATACATCTCTATCTTTTTAATCATCTTCATACAGAAACTATTGGAATAAGTATCGTAAAGAGAGTTGTGACTACTGTTCTGTATTTAGACACCATATAGTTTAACATGAATGTTCATAATACCGACCAACAGCTGAAGAAAACACAATTTAGTATGACATACATGTAAGTCAGGTGAACGTAAGGCCATCAGCCTTCAATAGAGGTGAGGGTAAAAAAACATAAATGTCTGTACATAAATGTCTAAATAATGATATATCTCTATCTTTTGAATTATCTTCATACAGAGAAACTATTGTAATAAGTATCGTATAGAGAGTTGTGACTACTGTTCGGTATTTCGACACCACAGAGTTTAACATGGATTTAAATAATACCGACCACCAGTTGAAGAAAGCACATAAGCGAGCTCAAGGTGAACGTAAGGTCAACAGCCTTCAATAGAGGTGGGGGTAAAACAACATGTCTGTAACATGTCTGTAACATGTCTGTAACACGTTACAGAAATATATAAATGTAGAAAACAACACGGGGTATTCCGTATCGCCCGAGGTACCAGCCCGACCGCGCGTCGGATCGCCCGACGGCCGAAGCCCGGAGGGAGATCCGATCCGCGGGAGGGCTGGGACCGAGGGTGATGCGCAATACACCGTGTTGTTTTTTATTTATGTCATACCCACCCAAGAAAACACGCCTTTTAATGCGAAATAGGCGAACATTTGGTGTCCCTAAACCCAAACAATGCAACAACATCAATTCCAACGCCCGAATTTTGTGTTCGAATTTTCGAAAGCGGTGCAAGCGGTTAGGGCGAAACGCGTTCGAATCGTTCAATGGAACATATGGAAGGCCCGGGCCGTACGCGTTAAGAACCCCCGGGCCGTACCGCTAGTTATCACACGGGCCGGAACACCCGTATCGAACGTAATCGCGGCCCAGGTAGGACATAAATAATGATATATCTCTACTCCGCTTTGACTTAGTGCCACCCACTAGGTCAGGTGCCACGGGACGGTCTCTCAGAAACTCTGGCACAATCAGTCTACCTAAAGCCCGGACTAAGAGACTTATCATTGCGTTGTTCGCCTCTATAACAAGACAATTCACCTGTAGTGTTATAGCATCTAGATAAATCCTACGTGATAACCGCATATTGTGTATGAATTCTAATTTGTGTAATCGTTTTCAAATGTTGTAATATTGTGCTTGCCATTTTTCATGTGTACAATGAAGAGTACTAGTGCAAAACATCATTGTTTTTAATGCGGTATGTACTTATGTACATGTAATCAGGACGTAATTCGGGTATTTGCCCGCGAAAGTCTTACTGAATAAAAAAATTGATTGAATTTGATTTTATTAAATAATATAACTATATATATAAATATATATAGGGTATAACTAAATATAAAAAGAAGGAAAACTAGAGAAGAGAAATAAGAGTTCTAACTATTTTCTTTTTAACAACTTTTTCAACGGTACAGAGACTTGGACAGAGGGAAAGAGACAGAAAAAAGTATATGTCAAGCTACCCGAGACAGATTACTATATATAGTGCTCTGAGCTGCCAACGTACTCTCCAAGCAGAGGTTGTGGGGTAATGATCGTTACCTTTTTATATATGGCCGTTTTTTTTGTCGCTACCCCCACTACCCATCGGTGGCCGCGGGCCTTCTCTGGCTAATGGATACTGCCTGGCCAATTTGATACTGTCTTTTTGCCACCGAGAGGGATCTGCTTGGAGATTACTGCCAACCCACCCATGCCAACTTGACAAATCAAAACAAGATAAGGACAAGATACAGACATGGTATACATGTATCGCTATCTTCTAAATTAAATCTATTGACTATTGAAACTATTGGCTCCAGACTCCGTCTGTGCGGCGGCCTCGCTACATGTGGTCCTCTTGTTCTCTTCGCGTCGATCTGGGTGGCCTGTGGGTTGCCCGTCCCCAAATATTCCACAGAAACTACTAAACTCGCTAAGTTTACAAACCGGGCGGCCATCTTGTATATAGTCGGGAATGTCCGGTAGCGCCGTCGGGAACGTTCGGTAGCCTTTCCGGTTATGATCGGAGAGCTTTCGGTCGCGCTTCGGTAATCGTGCCGCTACCGAGAGTTCCTGACGGCCGTACCGGACATTCCCGACTACATACAAGATGGCCGCCCGGTTTGTAAACTTGCGATTTAAGTACTTTGTGGTCGCGCTCTGGAATATTTAGGCCGATATAAACATCGGCAACCCGGCCAATTCTGGGTTTATACTGTAGGAAAGCTCGGGACAGCAAAAAGTCGGGTCGAAACCGGAGCATCGGGCAGCCAACGGGAAATGTGCAGTTCTGCCAATGGATCTTTGCCCGACTCTTGCTGAGGGTAATGCATTGTAAGCCCGAATTAAGGGTCGCCACGGCTAGGAAGATCCGTAAGTGTGCTGTGGCAGTCGGGCCGAACTTTCTGGTGGTTACCTGTGTTGGTCACTGTGGCACGGACACAGCAACTATAATTCCATACAGCAACTAGCTATAGCTACATTTGATATTGTATTGTAAAAGATAGATTTTTGCCTACGATTTCTACATAGCCGAATCTACCAAAATTAATAAACTATCAGTAGAGCCATCCACACGCAGACGACAGTTGAGACAAAGTCGGTCACCACTGAGACAACCACGCCCCCTGTCGGATCTGTAACGAAACGTCTACATGTTATTTCATGTCTACATGTTATTCATTTCACTTTATTCAAATAAGGCTACACCAATTTAATATGCCTTTTCTTAATTCGCCTCTTCATTTTTTCTGATTTGCAAAAAAAAAAAAGATTCTGATTCTGAATCAACTCAAATATACTCATATTTTGCCCCCAACAGTTGAGGAAAGTTCTTTTTTTCCTAATTGTAAGAGTTTTTCATCTATCAATGCAGTGGTTTGAGTAAAAGCTTAAGATTCATTGTTTAAATATTACCCAGCCTTTTGTGTTGACTTCATGGCTCCTATTGTAGCATTTGGGGCTATGATAGGATGCCTTGACCTGTTTTTATTTTTTATTTTTTCGCCCTGTCGCTTCATATTTTTTTTAAATCCAAGAACCAACAAATTAATTTGGTATGGCCTAGATCTAACTACAGCCACTACGTGGTGTTGGTGAAGCCGTGAAAAAATACGTAACCTCAGTGTTGATCTATAGATAGCCTGATGACTCGTTTAGATCATCTGTTTTGTCACAATTTATGGTAACTGATTATCAAGTCAAGGAAACAAATAAGTGAACAAATATAACGACAAATATTACTTAGCCTGGATGCCAGCCTATTTAGCTTAAGTTGGTATACGCTATCGTAAGCCCCAGCTGTCACACATTCAGAACCTTCCCCGACTACCAGCCGACCAAGTTTGGCTTAAGTTTGGGAGGAGTCTGACCGAATTTAGGCCATACCCACCTTAAGCTTTCTATACGAATCGAATCGAACTTGAGTCAAATTTGAGTCAAATTTGACCCCTGAACAGACCCGAACACCACTGACCAACACCAGCCAACCACAAGCAATTAAGAGAGTGTTCTGCAGCTAATTAAAAGACTAAATTTTACTGACCGATGGAACAGTTCAGTTCGTCAGACATGTCGGCGCAGTCGGTGACTCCATCACAGCGGTCCCCCGGCCGGACACATCCGGATCCATCCGCACAGGTGAACCCGTCAGCCGCCTCACAGTCGTCTGGGTCACAAAGAGATTCTTTATTGACATAACAAAAGAGTACAGAGACTTTTACGCCAAAAAGCAGTTACTCAAGCAACTGGATATGATTTTGAAAACGTCAGACGTTTCAGGTAGTATCCACTAGCTTTCGTCAGTGACTGAGAGACCAGAGGGGAAATGCAGGTTTATAAGCACAACCTATATCAATAGGTTGTGCTTATAAACCTGCATTTCCTCCTCTGGTCTCTCAGTCACTGACGAAAGCTAGTGGATACTACCTGAAACGTCTGACGTTTTCAAAATCATATCCAGTTGCTTGAGTAACTGCTTTTTGGCGTATCGTATTACCTGGATGTCTAACCTTCATCGACGTACAGAGACTTTTGTATGGTCTTCTACAACTAAAGATCTAACAAAGCTAAATACATGGATAACGTCATCTTACGTACAGAGTATATGTATGCGGTAACAATAAAAGTTTAACTAATCTCTAACATGTGGTCTCTAAGATCGAAACATTCTTTAAAGTATTTTCCTATTTGAACACTGTATTGGTTATCTCCCCTGAGAATGTAGTTACATTTATCTATAGGATCTAACGTATTGAAATCAATTGAACATGCGGAAAGAAAGGTGAACAGCAATAGGCGTTTATCATTGTATAGTGTACAGTCCATTATAAAATGGTGCTCATTTTTAATCATGTTTGGACAAAATGGACAGAACCTTTGGTCATTTGGCATTTTCTTGTATCGACCCATTTCAATGTTTAATTTATGACAAGTAATTCTTAATTTTGTGATCACTTTTCGGATATCTAGATTGTGTATACTTGAGAGGTCATACATGGGGCGTTTTATAAACTCAGGATAACGAACCAATGTACAGGTTTAGATCTTTCAACACATTTTCATGCAAAAATAAGACAGACACACTTGTACTTATAGCTCCAGTTGAAATTAAAGTCAATGCTCTTCCCTTGAACATTGGTACGTATATCAAAGAGCAAGAGCGCATTGAGTTTAAAGATATGGAGTGTGACGAACATTATATTGTATTGGTATACTATCATGAAAGTTCATTACCTCCATGAAAAATGGAGGTATTGTTTTTGGCGTGTCTGTCTGTATGTATGTCTGTGTGTGTGTCTGTCTGTCTGTGTGTGTGTCTGTCTGTGTTTCCGCAACTTTGTAGTCAGCATAACTTCAGAACGCCTTTATGGATTGTGATGATATTTGGTATGATGGTAAGTCTTGGAAAGACAAAGGTCAAGGTCAAGTATGGGCCTCCTGGTGGATGACCTTGGTACTGCAGCAGAACTTCCGGTTTTTGTATCTTTTGTCCTGAACATGCTATGGTCTTGACTTTTTCGTGACAGATAGCTAATCCTGTCAGGAATAAGTGGCGTAAGTTTGGTCCCCCTAGCAGCTTGTTCTGGAACTGCAGGTTAGTTTCTGGTAAGAACTTTCAAAGCCAATAAGTCCACATTGGAACAACATATTTTCATCATTTTTGGTGTGTAGGTACCTGAGAGACAGTTGTACATGATTAAATGCAAATTATGCAAATGAGGACTTAATTTGCATAATTAATGAGGAAGTTCTATAATTACAGTGTTTCATATAATGGTACTGCTATACATGTAATCTATTTAATCTGTGGCAGGCGGAACATCAACAGATACCAATTATGCAAATGATGACCTAATTTGCATAATTAATGTGAAAGTTCTGTGAATCCTTATTGGTGAATGATGGGAATTTTATACCTCGTAACATGTGTAAGTTACTTAAAGGTTTGCGTCGCTATGCATATATTATGTTAATGTAGAGGTTGTTTGCATAATTAATGAGGACAAAGCAAGCCCATATTTCATGGAGGTATGAGATCTCGGAACTCTTGTTTGTGTTGGTTGTTACATGTTTAAAGTTAAAACTTTTGATCCAACACAAAAAGCTTAAGAGACAAGCCTCAATGGGTCAGTATACTGAGGAAGACCAGAATGACCGGTCAAGAGCTCTAGGTGAGAGAACTTTTTATGTTGGATCAAAAGTTTTAACTTTAAACAATGAATGAATGAAAGACCTTTATTGTACGTTTGTGATCTAACAAGCTAAGTACAGGTCGTGGATAAACAGGGAAAAAGAATACAGCAATGACACTTACATACTATACATACTAATGTGATCTACTATGTACAGGTTCAGCTTCTTCTCCCTTCTTAAACATATTGTTCTTTTTTTATATTCCAACATTTAATGACCAAATATGGCGACGGCATACTCAAGTTATATCAACTTATTTTATGCCGCCACTAACACATAGTACAAATACGGGGCAGGACAATACTCATTTTCACCTTAGCGAAGTGAGGAAAGTCGTGTAAAATGCCTTTCACATGGGCACAAGATCGGTGGCATGGCAGGACTGACGAACCCGGGACCTCTAGGTTCCGAGTGGAGCATTCTGCCACTACAGCCACACGACCCCACAAACATATTGTATTCGTATTCGCCTTCCTATTCTGCTACAGTAGTGCAAAAAGGATTCGTGTAAAAAGAGTCACTCACAAGTAGGAGTCCAGCTTTCGTCCCAGCCGAGTGTCTCTCCGACGTTCTGTGTTTCCAACCAAGTGATGAGTGGTTGGAAGTACTCCACGATCGGCTGAGCTGACATCGTCCTTTGGCCAGTGATCACCTCCATGGCGTCCGGCCACGGTTGACTGGCACCCATCTGGAGCATTCGGCTGTGTGTTAATTGTTTTGGGTAGAGAGGGTGGGGTGGGTACTGTTACCATCCGCATGTTTCAAAACAAAATGTTACCACAAAAAAGCAGCTATTTTGCTGAAAAACAAACCAGATACTTAGTGCCCAAAAATCTATGTCCCACTCAAAAATCAAGACCATAGCATGTCCACAGCACGAGATATCATACCCATGTACCCCGCTGCAGTACCTTACAAAATCGCTAGAGTACCCAAGTTCAAGTTTATTTCAAAGCCAACATTAATTTATTTCATACCCAAAATTGACCTTGACCTTCCTTTTCCCAAGCTCATCCTACCTACCAAATATCATAAAGATATGTGCACTACACCCCAAGGTATAACCGATGACAAAATCAGCTACTTATAACCTTCTGAAGAAGGTACCAAACCCTCTGTACACGTAGCCTCTGTAGCAGGCTTATGGAACTGGGGCTTTTGTGGTCTTCGGCTGTTTTCTGATTAGCCCAGTTCTAAAACTGGCTCAACTCAACGAGTAATTGAACCAGGCCGGCTATGTTGTCTATATGCAATCAGAAAATAGCACATAAAAGCTCCCAAAGACCATGAAGACCCCCAAAATCCCCAGTTTTTTTGGCATGCTAAGCCTATGGAGGCTATGTACACGTAGGTGAAATAAAAATTGAAGACAGACTGACGCTAGTTTCTGTCCTGCTGCTGCCCTGTGAGCCTGTGTCCCTGCAGAGATGTCACACTTGTGCAGCGGGCCGGTGTGCCCGGAAGTCTGACACAGGGCCTGGTGGAACTGGAACTGCAGCACAGAGCTGACGAAGTACCTATGGCGCGTGACATACAAAACAGATCCGTATTCGTGTGCAGTATTGCTGCAAATGCTATCATCAGATATCATACTTTTAACCCCCTCCCCTTGGTCGCAACAATGTTCACCTTTTTCTAAACTGTATATTTCCTAGTGGTTATTGAAATACAAAACAGATGTGTTTTGGTGCGCAGTGCTACTGCAAGGGCTATCATAATATACCTTCATCTTCGATTGACTACAGCGCGGATGACTGCGGGTTTACTTCATTTCCCCTGTTGCTAGCAAGGCCAGAAATCTGTCATCATAATTTTATAACATACAAGTACTTTTAAAACTCCCCGAGTAGCAAATAAAACCGCAAACCTTTTTCAATACTATGTCAGACTTACTGGTGAGCAGAATCAAAAGAAGACGTAGTGGAGCGCACAGTACATGTAGATGTCGAATAACACAGAGTACATTACATGCTTGAGCGAAATACTTATTTTACTGTGAATACTTGAATGAATTGTAACACAGAGACCTTATGTAAGGGTTGTTGGCGGCTATGTGGTACTTGCAACCAGGGTCAAAGTCTTTGTCATGGTTCCTGGGAACGGGAGGCACGATGCCCTGGTAACGAGTCCTGTTGGAGTAATACAATACGTGTGTATTTGCTGTATAGCACAAAGAAGATACACAAAATACTTAAAATAATACACTCATTATATTCTATAACTTATGTCTTTTCAAAAAGTACGATGTAATCGAGTGAGTTTATCTTATGTTGAAAGTTCATCTGTGTTGGTAGAAATCATTATGAAGCAAGTTTAAACTGTAATTTCCAACACAACAAATTGGACGCAGAATGAGATAACACACGTGACTCCGTGAGCAGTGGATCATAGGTTGCAGAAAGTCTGTAGCGCCCCCCGTCTCTGTTGAGGGATGGTTGTAATGCCCTGATGTAGATGGCCTCTTTAACCCCTCGTGCAAAGAAATATGGTTCTGGGTACAAGATTCTTACTTTGTCCAGTGAGACTGAATGTCCAGGTGATTCTATGTGTATATGTTGTGAGACCTCCGAAGTAGCCGAGCTAGCTCAGAACCGGACTTCTTTGCACGTGGGATTAAAGAGGCTATCTACATCAGGGCATTACAACCATCCCTCAACAAAGACGGGGGGCGCCACAGACTTTCTGCAACCTATGATCCACTCCTCACGGAGTCACGTGTGTTATCTGCGTGACGTCACGGAAGCGGTGGATTGCTCATTCCTTGACAAAGACTGGAGTTGTACAGTCGAAAATTTGGGTGAGTCCTATTTCTTGTGTTGGAAATTGCAGTTTAAACTTGCTTCATAGAGTGAGTTGATGTGTAACCTGAGTTTCCACCACTCCTGGTTGTAGGTTGCCGGAGTGATAGAGCCGTTGAAGACCGCCCATCTCCACTGGTCCATCAGGTAGCCGAACGGCAGAAACGCGATCTTGTCCAGGGCCATACTCATCAGGAAGTTGATGTCAGATTCTGGATCATGACAGGATCGAACAGATAGGAGGTGACTTTCACAAAACTGTTCTTTCAAATAAAGTCATCATTTGCATAATTTGCATACAATAATGTAGATCTCTGTCTAAGCTATCCACATACCAAAAATCAAGAAAATACATTGTTCCTTTGTGAATTTATCTGCTCTGAAAGGTTTCGCCAGAAACCCCCTGCAGTTTCAGAACAAGTTGCTAGGGGGGCCAAACCCACACCACTTATTACTGGCAGGAAAAGCTATCCACCACTCAAAAATCAAGATCATAGTATGTCTATGACAAAAAATACAAACAACGGAAGTTGTGCTGCAGTACCAAGGTCATTCACCAGGACGCCCAAAATTGACCTTAGCCTTTGCCTACTCAACACCTACCCACATACCAAATATCATTACGATCTACCCAAAGGTTCAAAAGTTATGCTGGCTACAAATGTGCGGAAACACAAACACATATACAGACACACACACAGACAGACACACACGTCAAAAACAATACCTCAATTTTTCATGGAGGTAACAACAAAATTAGAGGCAGATCCTCTGCTGTAAGGCCTACCGTTGTCGTCTTCCACTGTATCCAAGAGGCCGATTCCCTGTAAGTGTGTCGGAGTGGCCACGGACAGAGCCAGCAAATCTCCCACCGCTTCATGGAAGCCTGGGTTTGCTCCCCGCCGGAACGGAACGGGATGGTGCTTGTACTGTAGATAGTACTCGATGTGACCCATCTCGTGGTGGATGGTGATCAGGTTTTCCATACTGACGTTGCTGCACATCATAATCCTACACAGAAGGAAACAAGAAACCAGGGATTTCATGCCTCCTTCATATCAGCTCGCAAATATAGGAGCTAAAAACCGGACATCCAAAACAGAATGCTGTCAGACGTTTTTTGAACGTTTGAATTTGTTGTTTAGAGTTAAAACTTTAGATCCAACACAAAAATTTCTCTCATCTAAAGCTTTCGACCAGTCACTCTGGTCTTCCTCAGTAGACTGACCCAGTGAGGCTTGTCACGCGGCTTTTTTTGAAGTGTGACATCAAAGAGAAGGAAGACCAGAGTGACTGGTCAAAGGCTCTAGGTGAGAGAACGTTTTGTGTTGGATCTAAAGTTTTAACTCTAGACATGTAACTACCACTTGCAACAGAGATGAACTTTCATGATAGTTTGAATTTCTTGTTAACGTTTACATGTTACCAGCTGCCTACCTGACATCATGCGCGTTGTAGAAGTCCCATGCGGACGCGTGACAGACCACTTCTCTGTCTGCCGGTTTGACGAACATGGAGTTGTCCCAGAAGTTCTGCGGCATCTCAATCAAGCCCATTGCTTTCAAGAAGTCACCTGATGTTCTGAACATCCGATCTACTGTCCATCCCTTAAATGTTGATACAAGGGATAACTAGAGAAGTAACATTTGCAAAGCAAATGTATAATGTTTACCTTCGGACATGGTCTGCCCTGTTAATTTTTATTCAAACACATTTGCATACATGTAATACTAGTATTATGGTGACAGTAGTAGAACAGTCCATGAAATTGCAACATTATGTAACCCAACACCAGTCGCCATGGTGACAGACGTTAACAAATCATGTCATTGGCCAGGTCAGAGGTTAGTGTTTGGAACAGAAGAGGAGGAAGAAACTGAGCAAAAACAATATGTTTTCCTTCGGTAAACATAAATATACGAAGTATGGAAGTTTTGAAACGTACTATGAGATACGGACGTGGCTTTAAGGCACACATGTGCAGTAATGATTGAAGAAAAAAGCTGTACTTTCAAAGAAAGTAACTATTGTAGTGCTTGTGGCGTAACACTATAGATATGAAGAACTTTATTGCACGACAATTGCACATGGTACAATGTATGGCAAACTACATAAAGTGAGTAACAAACAGTAAAATAAATGTGTTGAATACGACCAAATTCAAACAATAAGGGAAAGCACAAGACTTTGATATGTCTAACATTACTTGGGTTCATGGAAAAAGCGGAACCCAAAAGAAAATTGGTCATGGTTATGATAAAAAGAAAAATGCGCCTTACATCTGACAACATCTTGGCTGTAACGTTGATGCTTGTCTTGCCAGGGTAGGGCTCAACAAGCTTGTAGATGTTGGCCCAGGATTGGGACCACATGTTACCTGCAATGCACATAAAACGACGATGACATTGTATGTCTTCTTTTAAATAGAATATTTCATCAATAGCCAAGCACACACAGACTTGAACCGCCATTATTCATGCGCATTGCATTAGAAAAGAACAGTAGTTTAAGTCATTATTATTTTACTATAGCTGATTGCCAAACATAGTATTAACATAGAAAAACATTGAACTTTATTCCAACACAAGGGTTATAGAGCAATCAAATTTTCGACGACTATTGTCACCTTCATCGGGATAATTAATGACCAATCACTGCTCAACGTGATCTCGCGAGAGTTACGGTTTACAAACACGTGACCTTATTCACACGAGACTTTACTGATACGTGACGTAAGTAATTGATCAATTGATCACGTTGTGAAGTGATTGTTCATTAATTATCCTGATGAAGGCGACAGTGGTCGTCGAAAATTTGATTGCTCTGTAACCCTTGTGTTGGAATAAAGCTCAATGTTTTACTATGATTACTACCAACACAGATAAATACAGTATAACCCTAAGCATTTCATAGTATAGAAATGTATTATGTGCTTTTTGTCTAGATTGAGATATAATTCTCTCTTGTTTATCTTAACTCAAGATGAACGAAGCCAAGCCAAGATCTTAACTCAATAACTACGCTGTAATTATAATTTTATGTTGTGAATGTTCAGAAAGAAGAGTTCATTTGTACATCAGCTTTGGAAGTTAGCCATTACAAATACATTTCGAATCTATCACACAAACCTAGAAGATGAGCAGGGATGGGCCCAGTGGCACTGATCTTGTCTTGTCCGTATGTAGCCCTGAGCTTCTTCCTGACGTAAGCGTGCAGGTTGTTGTACAGAGGCGTGAGCTGGTTGTACAGGTTCTCCAGTTGTTCCTGGAAGTCAGCTGTCTCGTACCAGGAGCGCCAGTACGCACCCGTGTCTTCCCAATATGGAACTGTACGGAAAAATTCCATGTTGAGGAAAGATTTTGTATGACAGGCTGATTTTAAAACAATCATGAAAGTTCTTTTGTGTTGGTAGTTACATGTTTAAAGTTAAAACTTTTGGTCCAACACAAAAAATTCTCTCACCTAGAGCTTTCGACCAGTCACCCTGGTCTTCCTCAGTAGACTGGCCCAGTTGAGCTTGTCACGTGGCTTCTTTGAAGTGTGACGTCAACACAACAAAGAAGCCACGTGACAAGCTTCACTGGGTCAGTCTACTGAGGAAGACCAGAGTGACTGGTCGAAAGCTCTAGGTGACAGAATTTTTTGTGTTGGAACAAAATAAATAATTTTAAACATGATTTTAAAACCCTTGTCCTGCGGAGCCCAACAATTGTTGTTTTGCACATATCGTACCATCTATATAGAACTCTGTATAGGTACTATTTGGGGTATTTTTCGTGCAACGCATTACACCGCAGCGAAAAGCAACGACTACGGAAATAACTATGCCACCTCAGGGCAAAAACGTTAGGGGTTCATGACATAATTAAGACAAGAAAAAATTATTGAAAAATTCTGTGTTAAGAATGCCAGCAGGACTTAAGTTCTAAACGAAAACTACAGTGCGGCTCCAGATGTCTTACTGAGGGACTGTCGGTTAGCTTGGGAAATGAATCTACTTTACTATACTAACAGTAGATGATAGGTAGTATAGTATTTGTGGTATATATAGTACTTGTAAATACTTGTAATATATAGACTCCTAGCACTTAGCATCATTATATAGCGTTCCAGTGTGCAATACTCATGTTTTTTATCCTCTCGACCACATTTGGTCACATTTGTGCATTTACATTACATGTACAATAAAGATTCATTATATAAACTCGGATACTTGGATACTATGTGAAATGATTCCCATATAAAAATCTATCGTACTGTAAGAAAGGAATGGAAACAAGTTATGATTTTTTTTAGTTGAAAGGTAATGAGATTTCGATGTGTTTCTGGTACCTCCCTGACGGACGGCATCGTTACTGAGTTCCACGAAGCGAGGGTACTTGTCCTTCAGCTGCCTGCCCACGGCGTCCCTCAAGCCTTCCCAGCAGAACCGCAGCCGGTCGTAGTCACGCGAGTCAGCCAGGCAGTCACTAAGGTCTGTGTTGTCAAAATGATAACCACAATCTCGTTAACAGATAGTAAGCAGATAGAAAATATTGCCCAATGAATGTAGTGGAAAATGAAACACATTTTGTTAGCCAGTGTCCTCACTACGAGACCGATGAGACACCGAGAGAAACAAATTATTTCAAACAGTTAAAACAGTTTCTCCAATCTTTCGTCATTTAGAATATCACCAAAAGTCTATGTTCCTACTAAGATCACAAAACCCACTAATTATGCAGAATGTGGGACGATTCATTATCCACTGCCTTCAACAAAGAAGTTGAACCCCACAATAGCTAGCGTAGTAGTAGAAATAGAAGTTTTTCCAGACAGTTGTTGCCTGTCTTCTATTACTGTATTGCAATGAGTATTATACTTGATTGTAAAAGCAGTTAGCCTTCGGGAATGATTTTGCAAATAAAGTTTCATTAAGTTTCATTAATTAACGACAAGACATTGGGGTATCTTCATATGTCTAGATGTAAGTTCATCTTTCTCTATCAGGGGATCGAAACGCAATACATTTGCATATTCAGCACAAAATACTGGGTTGATCTTTACTGAGAATGCTTAAACTAATTCCTTATCCCTTAAAACATGGGGATTGACACCAAAATTATTCTGATACTTTGTGTCATATGAGATATTGACGAAAACCAGATTTTCAGTAATGGCCGCCCTAATTTGCATATTGTGCGGATTGTCCAAGGATGACAGAGTGACATCATTCAGATTTTTAAAGAGCACACCTCAGAGGTATGGAAACAGCAAAAAAAAAACTGTACCGACCGCAATGCACGCTTCTCGGTCTCTGCCACTAAACTATACTACATGTACATCATATTGGTGCTCTCATAGAATCTAATAACGATAAAGTTATATCACAACTTTACTTTTCTCTTGGACAAAAGTAATTTCCTTACATTACTTTCTAAGACCTTTTCTTGAACCTACATGATCACTGTTCATGAGTGCTTTTCCCTCAATTTTCAATATTTCATTACTTTGTGACCATCCTGTGTTGGTTGGCGTCTTTTGTCAAAGTTATCTACATAAGTATGCAGATTATTTCCCTTCGTTTTGCGGTGACATATATTTTGTATAGCCTCCATAGCATGCCAAAAACTGGAGGTTTTGTGGGTCTTCATGGTCTTTGGGAGCTTTTATGTGCTATTTTCTGATTGCATATAGACAACATAGCCGGCCTGGTTGAATTACCCCCGTTTTTTTTGGACTGGGCTAATCAGAAAATAGCCGAAGACCACCAAACCCCCAGTTCTATAAGCCTGCTACGGAGGCTACATTTTGTATACTACCGTACCTGGTTTTAGCACCAAACATGATGTCGGATTGTGATACTCGCACACCTTCCCAGTGGAGTAAATAAGACGCATCTCAGTCAGCAGGTTGTTGTACTGCAAAGAAAGAAGTCGGTGATTTAATATCTCTGTGAAGCCATTATGAATTTTTTTCTGGTTTAACAGTTTATTCATAAAAAACAGCCCCCAAGCCTGTACAAAAACATGCTGAATAACACTGATTTTTTACAGTTACTTGTCTGGCAAATACAAATTAACATTGCAATACATTATGCAAACACGCGAACAAAACATAACAAAAAGCCTCATATGGGCACTAAAGTAAAGACCAGAGAGTCCTAAGATATTTCTCAGTTCACGTCTATCCATTTTTCCACTGCTGACGCCCTGTCAACAGCCGCCCTATCCAACTTCCTAGTATTTCTTGACCAGCCTCTGGGACCTATAGCTAATGTCCTGTGTCTGACTTTCTGGGGTCTGTAAGGTAATTCCCCGACCCACGTGCTGTCAGTCAACTGCATGGACACACAGACATACAAACACACACACACAGACACACACAGACACACACACACACACACACACACACACACACACACACACACACACACACACTCTCTCTCTCTCTCTCTCTCTCTCTCTCTCTCTCTCGCATACACGAACACAAAAC